TGAACAAAGTAATCAGACACAGGAGAAGTACTACATGATTCTATGTATATGAAGTTCTAGAACAAAATTAATCCATGTCAAAAATCAGTGGGCCTAGGGCCTCCCCGGTGGCGCAGCGGTTGAGCGCTGGGTTGCGAAGCTGCGCGCGGCCTCTGCGGCGCCGGTTCGATCCCCGGCTGCTCCCCGGCCACCGGAGGAGGGTCCCACATGGCGCGCAGACCTCTCCTGCCGCCCGCTGCTCCCCTCAGCAGTGTACTTCGGTCCTTCTGCCTGCTCTGCTCCCCGCTCTGGCTCTGGTGAATTCTCTCGCCCTCCCGCGCTTCTGACTGTACCCAGTGCATGTATAAACAAAACAAACAAAGAAACCAGCAAACAAATAAATAAAGCATGCCTCTATTAAAAAAAAAAAAAAAAAAAAAAAAAATCAGTGGGCCTCCCTGGTGGCACAAGGGTTTAGGTCTCAGTACTGTGAAGCTATCAGCAGCCACTGCTGCACAAGTTCTATCCTGGGCCAGGGAGCTAACCCACATGGGGCAGCAGACCTCACCCACTGCCCACGCCTGCCAGCAGTATATTTCAGTCAGTCTACCTTTTCTGCTCTCCATTCTGTCTCTGGTGAATCCTCTCAGCCCCCGCACCGCTGGCCTACACCCCAGCCCTCACATGCATTAATAAATAAAATAAATCTTTTTTTTTAAATCAGGTTAGTAGTTGCTGGGGCAAGAGATGGGGGTGACTGATGACAAAGAAAAATAAAGAACTTCCTCCTAGGGTAATGGAATGTTTTATGTCAAGGTATTGGCTACATGGTTATACACACTTGCGAAAACTCACTGACGTGTACAGTACTTACGTAAATTATGCCTCAATTAAATTGATTTTTAAAATATGTTCAAAATAGAAAATTGGAATTCACAGAAAAAGTATAGAGAATTACACACCCCCTAATCACACCAACCAAATAAAATATCACTATCCTTCCCGTTCTTTTGAAGAAGGGCATATCACTGGAGATAAAAATATGCGTTTACTGTTTTCCTTAAAGGAAATATAGAAATGCTGGTTAAGCCCCTGAATTTTGGAATTCCTTTCTCAGGTAACTCCAAATCTACTGATTTAAATCCCTGTGACCCATCAAAACAATGAGTTTTAGCAAATTACTAAGAATTCCATGCCTAAATTTGAAAAAGAAAAAACGGAAATAGGGCCTCCCCGGTGGCGCAGCGGTTGAGCGCTGGGTTGCGAAGCTGCACGCGGCCTCTGCGGCGCCGGTTCGATCCCCGGCTGCTCCCCGGCCACCGGGGGAGGGTCCCACATGGCGTGCAGACCTCTCCTGCCGCCCGCTGCTCCCCTCAGCAGTGTACTTCGGTCCTTCTGCCTGCTCTGCTCCCTGCTCTGGCTCTGGTGAATTCTCTCACCCTCCCGCGCTTCTGACTGTACCCAGTGCATGTACAAACAAAACAAACAAACAAACCAGCAAACAAATAAATAAAGCATGCCTCTATAAAAAAAAAAAAAAAAAAAAAACGGAAATATTTTCTTAATTGAAAAATGGAATTACATATCTTAAAGAGCTGTTGAAAATATTAAGGGAAATAATATATGCATATGCTGACTTTTATGTTTTTCAAGCTGCAGAGTCAGCTTTTAAAAATCATCCTAGCAAAGAGACCACAAGCTTCCGCCCCCACCCCCCCACCCACCGGCCATCTTCAATTCTCTAAATACACCCATCTCAAGTTCATCTCTTATCTGAGTGACTTCAAATTCCTCTTCAGGATCAGACCAAAACCTTGAGCTGCTAAAGCCCAAAGAAAAGATTGGGGTAACAAAATAGAAACAGCAAACTATATTAGGAATAATGGCAGCTGGGCTGAGAATGCAGGCTCTAATGTGGTGAGCACAACTACCCAAGAAAACATTTTCCCCTTGAGTGAAGTTCAACAACTTTATTTAGATAAAATTTGTTTTTGCTCTACCTATGTAAGTCGGTCAAAATAAGTATCCTGGAGAATACTGCTTAAGAGTATGTTCTAAAGTATGAGTAATAAAAAAAATAAATAAAAAATAAGTATGAGTAATAGTTGTAAAAGAAAAATCAGAAGTCATTGACATTTTATGATTGAAGGTAAAGGCATACCCAACACTGGTACAGGGAAAATCTCTCTGGATAGAGCACACCCATAATGTGAATTCAACTTACATGAAGATAAGAAAAAAAAAATGTAAACCATGTCTCTATGCTTGATGCTATTCTGCTCAATGATTACATGCCTAAAATGAACACAAAAAGATAAAATTTTACTGTTCTCTAGTTGGTTTCACTTAGAATGTGCCTTTCATGAAATGAGCATCTTGCTGTGCTGTCAGATTCTAATGTTTAGAGCCATTTATTTTTCCTACAATATGGACCATAAACACAAGCCTACTACTTCATCTGGTGTTTAACAATAAAAAGTGATTTGTTCCAATACTGAAGAAAAACCGGGTGTGTTGGACTTACAGAGACTGCATGTCTACATTTTATGTGCAACTCTAGGGATTTCCAACGTTATTTTAACTAAATGACATTTTTTTATTCCCTGAGTCTGTGTACTTTGAAGGCAAAGTGAAAATCTTTGTGGTAAGAACAACAAAACAATTCTAGCGTACTGGTTTGGGGAACACAAGGAATTATTTATCTTGTATACTAATGTCAAGCCACTTTATTCAACAAAACTTTGATTTTTGCTACCAGTCACTGCTCAAAGTGATAATTAAGGCCACAGGACACTACCCTGTCCCAAAGAATTTCACATTCTAGATAAATATAGTAATCCTAACATTAATGTGGATTCCCATATAGGTCAATCCAATCTACACAAATTTACTTATATACTACATTCTTCAGAAAGTTGGTTTCCATACACCTACATATACATTGTGAATTTTTCCTATTGAGGATAATCAGAAAGAGAGGCAACTAAGGATTACTAATGACGATGGGAGAAAAAAGAAAAAAAAATAGTTTAAATTGAAACTTGCTGAACATAAAGAAAGATGACTAAAAGTAAATCCAAGCCTCAGAACTGCTATCCAGACTACTATCTCTGAAGAAAAATATTCATTCATGCAGGAATATAATGTATAAATCCAAGAGTCTAGAAAGAGGGCTTCAGAAAGAGCAATTCAGTGACTGTATCCTGGCAAACAGGATATAGTAAAAACAAGCTGGATTATCCAAACTTTTCCCATACAAGCATCTGAAATCAGAACAGGATCTGGAAATGTCACCCAGGTAACTTTACAGTAATTTGTTAATATCTGAGAAGAGACAATATCATTGCTAATACAATAGATACCAGTTATTCACTTACTGTTGTCATTCAATAAATATTTATTGAGAGTTTATTATAAGCTGGGTGCTAGCATCAGCCATGAAGAGAACGTAGAAAGTCTTTGCTCTCATAGAAATTACATGCAAAAGAGGAAGCAAAAGGATCATGAGAAGGAGCCAGTTACCAGTCAGAAAAAGCACATAGTTCTAAAGAACACGCCTGGCAGCAGAAACTGGAAGGATCATATGTGTCAGGAATAGGCCTAGCCCGTGAAAGAACAGAAAGAAAGGGAGCGAAAGGAGAGTGCAATGGCAGATGACGGCATGAAAAGCGATGGCGAGTGTGAGCAGGCAAGGTCTGTAAGGAATTCTGTGCCATAATCTTGTTTCATTTTAGTCACACTAAAAACTATTATCTCCAACAAACGGAGGATTACAAAAGTTCAACCACTTGCCTAAGTAAGTTCTGACACAAGGATCTGGGGTCTTAGCTCTTATGTAAGTTTTTGGATTTGGTCTCTCTTTTTTCAAAAATTGAAACTTTATGAGAGCTTTCACACAATCACTCACGACTTCAATTCCCATGACCTTATTTTTATATAAGATTCTGTTACTCACCTACAGTATCTTCTATTTACCATGGAGATTTTCAGAATTTAGTTCCCTCAGTGGGAGAATGTTAAAGTTCTAATAAATGTAATAGCTACTAAAAGATAACTGGGAAATCCTATGGGAAGACAGAGAGAGAGTTATTTCATTCTTATGAAGGAACCCCTCAGAAGTTTAAGAGCTGGTGCTTAAAAGTAAGATTTCTTTAAGTGGAGAAAAAGGGTAAAGCCACATCAAAGGAATATAGCAGGCAGAAAGATGGCAATAAAGTGCCCAGTTTTGTCTAGTACATTAGGTTGATTTTTTTTAATGCTATTTCATAGAAAACAATCAAATCTATGGTAATAAATCATGAATTGTAATCTGTGGTAAAAAAAAATGTTTTATCACATGATTTTCTTCATTTAAGACTACTTTGTATTAAAAAAAAAGGTTGTTAAAGTTGACTTAAGCTTATTAAATGAACCTATTCACCCCATATATGAACACTGTATTTATAAATATACTGAATACGATTTTACCATTGGGAAGAGATCCCAGTTCTCTATCAATATGACTTGAAAAAGAAAAATAGCATGACTTGCTCCTATTAAAACTAATATTTATCAAAAGCAAGAAGTTTTATATTAAAACAATATTAATCAAAAGTTCACATTTTGCTTAAACATATCTTTACCTCAAATTTCCTTGCAATCCCCACTAAATTGACAATAAAAGAAAAAATAGTCAAACCCACACCAAAAATGGTAGCTAATAACAAGTAAGATGAAGCAACATCTTTGTTTCCATTTGTCACAAGAAATATTGTAAGAGACAGGTAATCAGGGTCAAGATTAAAAAAATTAAGTTTTACTATTTCATAAAGCACATTTCTTAAATGAAACTATTTTTTACCATATATGTGTACTAATGAAGAATATAAATGACTATTAATATACTTTTTTGTCACTGTAGGACCAGCGGTTTCATCCACCACCGTGTTTGCACCATCACTGTAAATGTCAACATAGTTAAGTAACAAAGAAGTACTATTACAAAATAGTTTCAACCTAGCAGATCACCTGAAACACTTGAAGACCCCTTCAAGAGTCCACACTCTTGAGAAGCACTGCTTTGGAGATATACATAAAATACTAAGAGGAAGTACATCTCCAAGAAAAAGAACTGGGTAGTAGGACAGCAAGGTGACTTATTTTTTCCTGTACACCCTTTGTACCTTGTAAATTTGGTATCCTTTGTATTTTATCTGAAAAAAAAAGTACATTTTTTAAAAACAAAGATGTAAACTCACACTTTTGTTTTTTTAAAAAAGTGGCAGATAGAAATATAAGCATAATATTTAGAAATATGAAGTGAAATACCAGAAAAAAAATTTTAGTAGCTGAGTTTCCTCTAAGGAAGTGGAACTAGGGGGTTTGTTGGGGTGGTAGAGGTGACTACTACTTTACACAATAAGCCTTTTGGAACTGACTTTTAAAGCCATGTACAGATACTAATTGGTTTTAAATAAAAATTATTCAAAATATTGCCTGTAGTGTATTTCAGTCAGCCGCCTATTCTGTTTCCTACTCTGTCTCTGGTGAATCCTCTCACCCCCGCTCCTCTAGCCTGTACCCCAGTCCTTGTAAGCATAAATAAATAAATCTTAAAAAAAAAAAAAAAGAAAATATTGTCTGAAAAATACTTACTAGTCAGATTTTAAAGATAAATAAAGCAAAAACCATGCACAGGGAAAGAATGGCTATGAAATATGCCAAAATGTAATAATAACTGCCTAGATTGTATGCCTGTGAGTTACTGCTAATATAGGTAACATTCTATATTGAAATTAAAATTTTTCATTTAAAAAGCTAGTTGAAAGAAAACAATTTACTTCAGACCAGAATGTCTAGTGACTTCCTTAAAAAAACAGTTAAGTATGTAAACCTTAAGTTTAACAGTCAAGTGGTTAAACCCTACAAATACACAGACACACATTCCCACACACAGAAAATAAAATACCCATTTTTTCTTCTTTTTATTTGATCACAGTTAAGACCACATGAGAACTTATTTATTTAAAAAGAAAATAGAAGAACAAAATATTTGCTCTTTGGTAAGTACAATAAACTACTAACTCTTATATAATTATAATCCTTAACATAACAAAACCTTCACAAAAATAAAAACCCACTATCAAAACCCTAATTTAAATTTGGCTTTTTTAGAGCATATCCTGATTCAGGAAAGACAAGATTATTTCTATGTATACATAGATAACTCAAAAGCAAATGGGATTCTCCATCAAAAGGAACAGTATTCTTAGGAGAAAGGCTGATTCCTGAGAAAGGAAAGCTACAAGACGAACTTAGAACATCTTGCTGTGCCAAGAAGAAAGGAAATATTCCCCAAAAATGACAGTATGTCCAAAAGGATAGGAACCTGGGTGGAGAGGCTCCCCCTGTACAAATTGGGGACAATTTGACATCTAAATAAATAAAAGCAGTAATGGAGTAGAACCCATCAAATATAACAGGGAATACAGATAGTAGATAAGATAAATAAAAGGATGCTGTTTCCTTACAACAGAATGCCAACTGGTAAGGTGAAGATGGAAGAGTTAGAAAATAACAACTCTGTAACACCAGAGTAAAGATCAGTATAGGCCATCCCTGGTGGTGCAAGGGGTTAAGTCTCAACATTATGAAGCTATCCACAGCCACTGCAACATGGGTTCAAGCCCCAGCCAGGGAGCTATCCACTTGGCACAGGAGACCTCTCCTTTCTCACCGGCTGCTCCCCTCAGCAGTGTATTTCAGGAGATCTGCCTGTTCTGCTCCCCACTCTGTCTCTGGTGAATCCTCTCACCCCCACACCTCTGGCCTACACCCCAGCTCTTGTATGCACAAATAAATAAAATAAATCTTAAAAAATAATCAGTAAGACAATAATCACCTATTTAAATCCAGAAAAGAGCGTCTCCCTGATGGCACAAGGGATTAAAGACGCAACCTGTGAAGATATCGCAGCACAAGTTCGATCCTCAGCTGGCCAGGGAGCTACCCACGTGGCACAGCAGACCTCTCCTGACTCGCCCACTGTTCCCCTCAGCAGTGTGTTTCGGTCGGTTCTGTTTCTCACTCTGTCTCTGGTAAATCCTCTCTCACACACACACCCCCTACACCTCTGGCCTGTGCCCCAGTTCTTGCATGCATAAATAAATAAATCTTTTTTAAAAAAAAATCCAGAAAAGACAGTTTGATTAGGCTACAGATTTGATTAGAAGCACGGTATCTGCATTATCTCAAAGTTATCTACAGATTGTTTAATGGAGGAAATAACTACACTGTGAAGAAACAAAACACTGTTAGAAATAAAAATCATCAATGAAGGGCAGATCAGTGACACACACATGCTCCCATAATATGTCCTGAGATGGACACAAAACCCCTAGCTGAAGATGTATAACTGAATGTAATTGTAAGGAAATATCAAACAATGCCAAAATGAGACGTATTCTATAGAATGTGTAGCCTGGATTCTTTAAAAACATCATGTAATGAAAGATAAAGAGAAGCTAAGACACTGCTCCAGATTAAAGCCACTAAAGAGATATGACAACTAAATGCAATTTGCAATCCTGGACTGGATCCAAGGGGAGAAACACTATTAAGGAACAAATGCTATTACTGAGACAAGTTGACAAAATTGGAATATGGGTTACAGATTAAAGTATAGTATTATCAATGTTAAATTCTCTGAATTCGGTAACTGCACTGTGATAATGCAAGAGTATACACTACACAGCAAACATCCAGAGATACATGAGCATAATGCAGGCAATTTACTCTGAAGTAATTCAGAAAAGAGAAAGAGAAAGCAAATGTGACAAAAACGTTTAAAATTGGTAATTTGAGTAAAAGGATATTTAAGAGTTCTCTGCATATTTTTTAAAACTTTTCTGTAATTTTGAAATTATTTCAAAATAAGAAATTCTTTTCAAAATTAAAAATAAGGTAAATTGGAATGTTAAAAGTGATTTATACTGATGTCCTACATACATACAAATAAGGAAAATAACCACAACGAATATTCAGACTGGCACATAACCTCCATAGAGAATTTCTTCAATTTTCAATTCTCTAGAAAAAGAAAAATATTTTAAGTAGCCACATAAGCAGCAAGATGCTGAGCCTGTATATGCTCAGGAAAACACAAAAATCTGTTTATTCACATTAACAGAGTCCACACTTTGGGACTCCCTTCCTCCAGCAGGCCATAAACTCCTGGTCCATAGGTCTTAAAGCCCTGCTCTTTGTTATAACTCAAGCACTGACACAGAGCTGAAATGCAGCACTCATATTTGTTGACTAGATGCTGAACTATTTAGGAAGAGACTACTACATTTTATCAAAATTAGGAGGAAGAAAAAGAAGACACATAAATACGGTATAAAGTTATTTTTAAATCATCCTTAAATATGGGCATTTTCAAGCTTCACAAATGCAGAAAACAGTATCACTAATACCCACATACCTATCACCTCAACCCAACAATTATCAAGACTATACTACACTGGGCCTCCCCAGTGGCACAGCGGTTGAGCGCTGGGTTGCAAGGCTGCCCGCAGCCTCTGCAGCGCTGGTTCGATCCCCAGCTGCTCCCCGGCGACCCGAGGAGGGTCCCACATGGTACGCAGACCTCTCCTGCCGCCCTCTGCTCCCCTCAGCAGTGTACTTCGGTCCTTCTGCCTGCTCTGCTCCCCGCTCTGGCTCTGGTGAATTCTCTCACCCTCCTGCGCTTCTGATTGTACTTGTACCCAGTGCTTGTATAAATAAATAAAAAAATCTTTTTAAAAATTTTAAAAAAAGATTATACAACACTGCTTCCTCTAACCCATCTCCCCCCTTCCTTTTATCATTCTAAAGTATTTTTAAGCAAATACCAGACATATTTCTCTTCATTCTTCAGTCTCCATCTCTAAAAAACAAGTTCTTTCTAATATAAACATAATAATGCTATTATCATCCCCTAACAAAATTAACAGTAATTCCTTGATATCATCTAAAATCCATCCACATTCAAATTTCCTCCAAAGTGTTTCAAAAAATGACTTTCTATAATTGGCTTGAGTCAGGATTTAAACAAGGTTAACACATTACCTTTGGTTCCTATACCTATAGAATTTTTAACCTTTCTTTTCACATTGTCTATCAGCAATTATGAAAGTGTGACAAACCAATTAATTTACACTTTCAAATTCTCCCAGTTCAAAACTAATGAAATGGACTCACTGTTCCCTTTTTTTGTAGCACCCTTCCAGATTGTTACTTAGTAAGATTGATTCTTTCTAGTCATTGATAGCAAGTTAAATATAAGCTCCAAAGAGTCCCTCCCATTCATTCCCCATTACATGTTCCCATTTTCTTCACAGCACACATTACTACCTGAAACTATTCTGTTTCCCCTCCAGCAGAATATCCATTCCATGAAGGCAGAGTGCTTTCTTCATTGGAAACCAAAAGCAATGCTTAGAACATGAAACATTCAATACTTACTGAGTTGCTAAATAACAATGCTATAACCTCTATTTAAGATATAAGCTCAGTTTAGTATTTGCTTTGAAACATACATAGCTCACTCCTCATGCAATCTTATGAACTGAGTACCTATAGAAACCTTGATCAGCTGTTACCAAGAATCTGTGGGATGTAGGAAAGAAAGAAGAGAGGTGTAAGACATTCAAAGCAATGCTGGGCTTTTAACAAATTATGGTTACAGGTTATTTGAAAGAAAAATTATTCAGGATGATTTAGAGAACATTACCAGAAGTAAAACAAAGTTTCATGTTTTAGTATCATATGAGAGCTATTGCAGGATGAGTAATATCTACAATGGGACAGAAGCATTACTGGAACAACACACATTGCCTTACCATAGTGTTTAGTGTTCTCTCTCTTTCTTTCTTTCTCTCTCTCTCTCTCTCTCTCTCTCTCTCTCTCTCCCCACCCCTCTCTCTCTCTCTGTGTGTGTGTGTGTGTGTGTGTTTGTGTGTGTACTCTAAGTACAATATTTCTCTCTGGAAATGAGGATCATGATTAATTTAACAATACATACCAAAACACCTATCTGAAAAAACAAACCAGTAAATTTGGGACCTAGAAAAAACTAGAGTTATCTATCCCTACACTACTCATTTACCAGTTGAGAGAGATCCGAACTCCAGGAATGGTTACCAATCAAGTCGAGATATAAGTGACTGGCAAGCACTTACGCGATCTAAATCCAGAGTTCCTATCTCTAGCCTTACACTCTTTTTAAGATAATGTCACCCACAGAACGTTAATGTCGAGTGTATGACATATTTTAATTACTGCCATTTTTACTACTGTCACTTTTCCCCCCATTAATGTCCAAACTGTTCACCCCCAGGGGGCAAGTCAAAACAGGGCACAAAAAACTATGCTCTAAATAAAGCATGGTACAGAAACCCCTCTTTGACAAAATAACAAATGTCTAAAAATCTAAGTGGTTTGACGCAATGAATCTTTTATTCCACTTTAAAATTTCAAAGTGAAAAGATATTTAGAAATATCTGTTGGTTACTCCTTTGCTTTGATGTGTATAATGCTGTTCTCTTCATTTTAAATATCAGCATTGCTATTTTTCAGTTCTCTGTACAAATACTGTACCAAAGTGAAATCTGTCATCTTTCTTCAAAAACCAACTCTAGCGAAAAAAATAACATGTGAGTGACAGACACCAAAAAAAAGGAAAAGTGATAGAAGGATTCACATACATAAGAGAGTGTACCTCTGACGAATAAGGAGAGACACTACTCTTCCTACTTTTTCCTACAGTACTGTTCAGACCAATTCATAAACACGCTCACCAGTTCTTAGACTACTACTCTGAATCTTGGGCCACAAACCAATGATCAGGAACGAGATGCTATTCATCCAAGGTTATACGACAAGAAATGGAGAAAGGTAAAATAATTCAAAGTTTAAAAAAATTTTCAGATTCTTTTCAGAGTGAAAGGCCTTCTTTTCATCACCCAATCAAAGACTATTGGTTAATAGGAAAAGCAACACAGTTTACATGGACGTGAAAATTTTTACTGAAAACATAGTAACAAATTATCAAAATGTAGCCCCTCACCCAATAAAGCTAAGTAAAATGGTATCATAGAATTTCTATGGAACATCCAAATCACATTCTAACATGAACGCAATCACACGCACACACACACACACACAAAATGGGAAAGAAAATGGAACCTCGGCTTATCTTTTCGCGGCTGCTCTTTCTGAAGAAGTCCGGAAAACAAGAACATTAAACATAGAATACCAAGGGAAATGAAAGTTTGGATTCGGGCTGGCTCAAAACCTGTCAGAACTCCTGCGAAACGAAGGCAGCCGGCATGCGACCTACTCGGGAGAGTTCCCAATTTATACCGCACAGAAATCAAGAAACAGGAAAGCATATAAAACAATGGAGTCATCCCCCACGACACACAGGAACAAATGCAAGGCATCCCCTACACTTCCTGGTATTTTTAA